GACCAAAATCGACAGATTCTTAGTCTCTAATTCCTGAGAGACCACCTGTTTGGGTACCTGCTCTAGTGCTTTACCCAAACTAATTCAAATCACAAACCTATCCTTCTTGATACCTGCCCCACCCCGCTGGCTAGAAAACCTTTCAAATTCGAATTGTTCTAGTTTGATGAACCTGTCTCCTACTTGGTAGAAGGTTGGGCTAGGTTCCGCTTGTCCAAACAACTCCAGCACCTAAAGGCCTCAATGAAACAATGGAGTTGTATCTTCCCAGCAATTTCAGAGATCAAATCCTTGCTTGTAATAACCTAATCCATTTATTAGCCTCCCTTGAGGAAATCTGGACACTTTAAAATCAAGAAAATACAGACACATCTTTGGCCCAATCCTCTCCTCCTCCTCCTCCTCCTAAAAAAGGAAGAAACATTTTGGTACCAAAAGGTCCAAAATGAAGTGGCTGAAGGTAGGGGACAGAAACACTGCCTTCTTCCACAAAACCGTTAGTGCCACAAGAAGAACCAATGCTATCACCCAAATCTTCGTAGGTTAATCTACATATTCCCTCCCTGAGCAAGTAAACAAACTAATAATTAAATATTTCAAAAATCTTTTATCCGCCTCCTCTAGTGACCCTCCCTACACAACTCTCTCCTTTTCTTCTCACTCCCCTTCGGATGTGGTCTGGTTGGAAAGACCTTTTACAAAGGAAGAAATCCATAAAGCTATCCTCGACCTAGGCAGAGATAAAGCCCCTGGTCCTGATGGCTTCACCATTGCCATCTTCCAATTCTAGGACACCATGGCACCAGATCTTATAGCCTTTTTTAACGAATTCTTTTTGAGGAGCCACCTCAATTCTGCCATTAATTGTACTTTCTTTACCTTAATTCCTGAGATAGAAGGGGCTGAAAAAATGAGAGATTTCCGCCCTATGAGTCTCCTAAACTCTTCTTACAAAATCCTCTCAAAAGTTCTAGCCTCCCGCCTTCAATCTATCCTCCACTCCATTACATCCCCCACTCAATCAGCCTTTGTCGCCAATAGGAAAATCTTAGATGGGGCCTTCTCTGCCCATGAAGCTATTCATACAAGGTTTTCTATAAGGACCCAAGGCCTAGTCATTAAACTAGACTAGGAAAAGGCCTATGATAGAGTAGATTGGGATGTGTTAGGTGAGCTACGCTCCTGGGTTTCGGTGTGAGGTGGAGATCCTAGATCAAACCATGCATCTCTAATCGCTATCTCTCCATCTTGATCAATGGTTCCCCTACTGGCTTCTTTCCTACCTCCAGAGGTCTTAGGCAGGGGGACCCGTTATCCCCTTTCCTGCCTCCAAAATTCTACGAGGTCTCCAAACCTCCTCCTCTGGTCCAGTTGTCTCTCACTTGCTTTACGCAAATGACACCTTGATTTTTTGTGACGCTGGGCCACACCAACTCGATAACCTTTAGTTGTTCCTTAGATTCTTTTAAGTCACCTCTGGGATGAAAGGAAATATGACCAAAACTAACATGGTTGAAACCTCGCCCCTTTCCCAACATCATGGTTGCGGCATGGATCCTCTACCCTCCAAATACTTGGGCCTTCCCCTTTGCATTGGCAGACCTAGAAAGCTATTATGTGACAATATCTTCGAAAAATTTACTTGGAAATTGGCCAATTGGAAAGGCAGATTCCTCTTGTTGGGGACTCGAATTACTCTCAAATTCTACCCTAGTCAGCATCCCAATTTATTTCATATTCCTTTTTCAAATTCCCTCCTCTATGGCACTTCGACTTGAAAAACTCACGAGGAATATCCTGTGGAGTGGGGCCACTAAGGACCATAAGCTTCACCTTGTTTCTTGGAAAAAGTGTTGCACCTCTAAGAAATTTGGCGGACTAGGTATCAAGTGCATCTTCTAGATTTAAGTTCAAAGATGGTCAAAGAATTAGATTTTGAAAATACCTTTGGGTAGGCTCCTCCTCTCTAGACCTTCTTTTCCCATCCCTCTTCCGTTTAGCCATTGATCTAGATACCCTAATTGCACATTATGTGCACAGTACTGGCTCTGCTAGGTTCTGGACTCCAATATTTAGAATGAACCTTAATGATTCGAAACTCCCTACCCTTAACTCTCTCTTCTACCTTCTGACTCGTGTTTTCCCCCTTCTTACTAGACAAGACTCCCTCATCTGGGCTCCAAATCCTTCAGGCTGCTTCACTATAGCCTCCTTTTACTATTCCCTCCTCCCTTCTTTGAATCCTACCCCTATTCTCAATAAAGTGTGGTCCTTCTCCATTCCCCATAAGATCAAAGGATTCATGTGAATTATGATCCAAGGAAAATCTGTAACCCTGGATCAAATGCAGAGGAGAGGCATTTCCTTGCCTAACCATTGTATTCTCGGTCTCCAGGATGAGGAGACCGTCCCTCACCTATTCATTCATTGCCCCTTTTCCTCTTCAGTGTGGTCTTCCTTTCTAAAACTATTTGGATTCCAATGGGTTACCCCTCAATAAGTTTTGGATCTCTTCTTAGCCTACTTAGGCCCTCCCTTCCCCAAAAACGGTAAGAAACTTTGGTCATAGGCATTGTAGCCATTTTGTGGGCGATTTGGCTCGAAAGAAATGCTAGAACTTTTCGAGGCCTTGCTAAACCACTACCTCATTCCTGGACTCAGTTCTTTTTATGGTCTCTTTTTGGGCTAGAAGTATTCGAACCTTCTCCCACACCCCCATCTCTCACCTTCGGGACAATTGGTCTGTCTTGCTCTCCCTAACGTCACATTCCCCCTCCTTTAGGCCTCAGTGGCATCCCCCTCCTTTGGGAGTGATTAAACTCAACACAGACAAAGCTATTTTGGAAATTCGAGTTCCTCAGGATATGGAGGTCCCCTAGCAAATTCAAACAGTATATTTCTCCTCTTTTTGGGCCCAATGGGAGCTTCAGACTCTAACTTTGCAGAAGCTTCCGCCTTATTGAAAGGCCTCAAAAAGATCCATCGAGCCCCTTGTTAATTTTCGACATTGGAAGTTGAGTGCAATTTAAGTAATGTTGTTTCATGGACTACCAAGTTGGTGTATCACCCGTGGAGACCAAGGGCCATTTTTTACCTCATGACCCTTATTTGCACCAACCTCCCAACTATGACCTTCTCTCATGTACATATAAGCGCAAACTCAGTGGCTGACGCTCTGGCTAAGGGTGGAGCTAGAGGCACCTTCCCCACTCTGGAGTTCCTGCCACAAGCCCCAGCATTTGGGGATCTCTTATTCATTCTGTAATGGGACCACCCTTCTGCCTTTGTAAATCGAGATTGCTTGCTACAAGGTATAAGTACGCCCAACAATCATATCCTTCTATTCCATGTTATCTTCTTCTTCTCTCTATTTCTCCATCTCGCTCCCTATTTGTCTTCTCTTCCTCATGCTCCCCTCCCTTTCTCTCTATCTTTCGCAGCTACACTTCCCCCCACAAAAAAAAAGAACTATACAAGGAGAAGGGGAGAAGAAAATAAATGACAAAAAATATAAGAAAAAAATAAAAATTGGAAAAAATAAAGAGAGAAAAATTCAAAGAAAAAATATTTATTGCCCTCTCTATATCAATATTTATTATGGATCTCCCCCCTTCTCTCCCCTTCTCTCTTTCCTCTTATTGTCATCCCCCTCTTCCCCTTCTCCTCACCTCCTATCTCTCACTCCCCATATAATTGCCTTACACCTTTATCTCTCTCTGTACCCCCCATTCCCCTTCTCAATTGCTCAGAAAAAGAGACAAGATTTGGGAAAAAAAGGGGGGAAAAGAAGAATGAGAAAAAAAAAAACAAAGGGTGGAGATAAAAGATGGGAAACAAAAAAAGGGAGAGAAAAAAAACAAAAAAATATAGGGATCATTGCCCTCTTCCCACCGCCCCCCTCTTAAGCCTAACTACTAGTCCAAATTCGTCCCTCCACTCTTTCGTTTTCTCTCTTTCTCTCCCTTCTCTCTGTCTAATAAGCTCTATCTGCTCCCTTACCCAGGTCTGACTTCTCCACACCCCTATCTCCATCCTCTCTCTCGCTTTCTCCGTCCCCTTTCTCTCTCTAAAAAGCTCTAGCACTCCCTATCCCCTTTTCTTCCTCTCCACCCCTCCTCCCTCTCTCCCTTTCCCCCTTCTACCCCTTCTACCCCTTCTCCGCCCCTCTAATGGGGATTGCAAGGAAAATTTTGTTACTCGACTGAGCCGGACCAGATCCTCTTTGGCTCATCCCCTTTGCCTCATCCCCTTTGCCTCAACCCAAGGAAGATCGCCATTGCCTTTCCCACAACAGGGTCCCCCGCGACCTCTCAAAGCTCAGACACTCAACTTGCGGATTGGACCAACCCAGTCTCGAGGAGTTCATTTTTTGATATATCAGCTAAAGGACATAGATGAAGGTTTTTCTATGTTCAATTTCTCGGTTATAAGCACTCTGCTTTATATGCTCTCACCCCCTTGTAATCTAAGCACCCAGCTTGTCGGATGCATTTTAATCTCTCCATTTTCATCCAATGTAATATATTGATTTTTATGCAACAAAGTCAACCATTCTCAAAAAAAAAAACGACCATATCTCAATTTCATGTTATGCTTTCATCATTACCTTTAAAACAAAAATAAAACCCCTGATTTTGGTTCACCTACAAACAAAACCAATTTGGCAAGTGATTTTAAGTTTGAAAGAAAGAAGGTAACTTTACTGAATGAGAAAACAAAACAAGGAAAAGAAACAAGCAACTGTCATGCCACACCAACTAAATACATGGTTATGCCACCATATAGAGCAATTTTACTTCCCAACAATAATTCATAATGTAAGTACAAAAAAGTTATAAATACGGAAGATTAGCAATTAAAAACTAAAAAATTAATATCAATCTAGAATCTACAAGGGGACAAGATGTATCAAAATTCATTCTGAGAAGGGGAAAACAAGAATCAGGTCTGCCAGTAAAGTAAATGCAATTATGGAGAAAATGTTTTTGATTAATACTTACCTTTGATTGGGATCGTCTTCTCCAGCATTAACAGCTGCCCTCGAACGCCCCATTTTCTCAAGAAACACTAAACCCTCATCAAATTAAACTGTTTAAACTAGTCTCCATTCAATTTACAGGCAAATAGCCTAATTGGGCGGTGTTTAGAATATAGAGTATACCGATTAACTAGGATTCCATGAGTCAAATCTTACTGCAGTACATAGTTAGGATTCATATCATACAGGTCGATAGGATTCCAAAGACCAAACCCTAATATCCTACATAATTAGAGCTCCAAGAGCCAGACCCTAATGGAGCCCGTAACTAGGGTTCAGTTCATGCCAGGAAAGTAGGGTCCCAAAACACAAGCCCTAATGGGGTACAAAAACAGGGTTCCCAAGTACTACCGAAGATCAGGCCATACCCCGCGATTGTCCGAGTTAAAAACCCCAACGGACGATGAACTCCAAACTTGCCAGCTAAACTAGGGTTTAAATGCGAAACCCTAATGCAGCATGAGCATCGAGGTCTCACATGAAAAAGTTAGGTCTCACAGGCGAAACTCTCACGGAAGTTGGATTCAAGGTTTAGCAGGTAAATTAGGGCTTTCAGGTGAAACCCTGATGGTGGATCTGGAATTCGAGTTTAATAGCAGAAGAAACAGTTAGGCAACCATGGATCTGCAAAAGCTTAGTTTCAGACTTTCAGGGAAGCGTATCCGAGAAGTACATACAGGGCCAGGCATCCACCGTCTGGTCATAAACTAACGGTTGAGATGAACGAATGTCCTGGATTGGTCCGTACAGAGATTTTTTCTCGCCTTCCGACTTCCATCAGATGGCGGATTTGATGGAGATGTATGGTAGAGCATAGTCGTTACGTGTATCCTCGTATCATATTATTTGTTTGTGGATATTTATTTTAAGGAAAATTGTTTCACGCGGGTTGGACCGCGTTTCTACACAAACGATCTAGAAACTGTAAAGCATAAGATTGATGCAAGTAGGTGTTCTATATAAAACCAATAGAAACTAACCGATTAAATGTTTTCTTACTATAATTGTTATTTCTAAGTTTTAAAATTTATTTATTTTTTCATATTCATGACCTCCATGTTAGAGATTACCTGTCCTTAAAAATGAAGTCTTAAAATCTATCTCAAAAATAGATTTATTAAGAGGCCCGCATTTATTGAATTTCCTGTTTAATGGCTAAAAGTGATCGTGACTTTCTTGTGCCAAAACTAAATAGCCTCATACAATATAATCCCTTTACATGAATTGCCTCATAGTATATAATCCCTTTATATGTTGTAAATGAAATTTTGTAAAATTATTTTGGTGGATAACTTCTTTTAAGTAGGTGGTTTTCTTGATTATCTTAGTGGCTTTTTTCAATATAAAATTTTGCAAAATTTATTTGTTTCACCAATATAAACACTTTTTTACATAATGTGAACAATTTAAATTAAAATATCTTGAGTTTTTAGATCTAACGGTTCATTAAACAGGTGGTCTAGGCTTATTATAACAGCAATAATTTGATTTGAGTGTATTTTCTCAAGAGAAAATCAAGAGCCGTTGTCTTTGATATTGTCATGATAAAAAAAAAAAAAAGTGTATTGTAAGGGTTTTGATCTCGACAAAAATCTTGTATGAGAATAATTACATCATTTTAAAAGATAATTTTTAAAATAATTGAGTGAAATCTAGGCTTTTAAATTTATGATACATTAGCAAAGGCATGTGGGTTGCCTGTCGTTTATGATGTTGTAAAATGAATAATATGATTGACATTATATAAAATAAAATATATATTATGTATTTTGTTATCATAGACTATTCTTTTTATATAATCATATTGTACACGATGATTAAGCTACCTCTCAATAGTGAATAAAATATTTAGATTAAGTATAAAGTAAGAATTTTGATCCTATAAAATTTTTCGAAAGAAAGAACACGGTGCATTATTAGAAAAATAATGATTGCATTTAAATTTATTGAAAGAAGTGCAACTGAGATTACCAAATGTGAATAGTTAAATATAAGATACGACATTTAAATTTAATCAAGCATATTTAGAATAAGTATGAAGTAAGAAGTTTGATCCTATAAAATTTTTCGAAAGAAAGAACACGGTGCATTATTAGAAAAATAATGATTGCATTTAAATTTATTGAAAGAAGTGCAACTGAGGTTACCAAATGTAAATAGTTAAATTTAAGATACGACATTTAAATTTAATCAATCAATATCTCTCTCTCTCTTGTCAATACCAGATGGTTTTTATGTGTTCTTCTTGTAATATTATGTCATCATATCTCCACGATGATGAGGTTACCAATGTAATAGTTTGTGGCCTTTGTTCGGGTATGTCCCTCTTTGAGGGGGCTTCCTTATTAGAGATGGGCGATCCAACAACTTCTTAGGAGAGGGATAGATGTATTATGGATCATCGTAGCATTTCCCGAATATGGTATTAATCACTTCCTTAGTGATTTTGATGTTTGGTTTCCCCTTCAATTGTGTTATTTGGGAGTGGATTGGTCCCCAACTTTTGATTTTAGAGCCTTTGGTGCATTTATCTCGCTTATTTGACCTTGATTGCCCCAGAGCCGCTGAGATCTTGAATAACTCATTGAAGTACATGCAATATTGGGAGTTGTGTGGTTTCAATGCCACTTGCACCATCGGGGTTTAGGTATTGTGGGCATGGTTTCAATGTCACTTGCACCATCGGGATTTACCCATGACCGTAATCGGTGGTTCAATTTGATGCAGCAGATAAACTAGTTCCCACAACTTCTAGCAGTTATTTGACAAGTTTGAAAAAAATTTCTGGGAGAGGCCTCATTTTACCATTATTGTTGCTGCCTCGAACTTGGGCCTTCTTGTTTTTGTCATTTCAATGATTCTTTTGGGCCAATTCTCAGGCATTTTTACAAATGATAATTTAATTTCCCTCATGTTGTTATATGATTCTTTCGATTATTTGAGAGAGCGGCAACAATCTTGTTCTGAGTTGAAGCTGCAACAGCCGCCACCTTTTGAGCTCTTTCATCCAAGTCAACCCTTTCAAGCATTGCATTGAAGGATAAAGGAGGTATGCCTAGGCTTAAAGAAGTTGTTGTACTTTGGTAATACGTTTTCTACAGCCATGCTGAGCTTTGATAATTCTCGAACCGAGGGGCATAATTTGATAAGGGTTTGCTTGGGTTATGCCTCGTGGTTGACAACTCCCCTAAGTGTTGGGCCTTGCCTTTGATCCTCGAAAGTATGATACAAAGTTGCCGAAACATCTCATTGGATATCAAGGATGAGAATTTTGTAGTATGTCTGGTGCCAGTCAAGTGGATCTCTTGAGAGATTGTGGGAGAATATGGCTTTAAGTTGGTTTGGCTTCTCCTTTAGCATGGGAACCAATATGAGATAAGCCCTTATATGAGTTACAGGATCTCCTTTCCGAGCAAACTTATTGTGAAATTCTGGGATGGCAAAGCTAGGTGGAAATATCTTCACTTCTTTTGAGGAATTGTATCATGCACGCCTACTCCTACCAGGGTCCTAGTGAGGGTTTTTATTTGTCGCTTCACACTGGCTAACTTGGCAGTTGGGATTAGGGTTAAACCCCGCGTAACATTAGCTTGCGGTACAGATGTCTAGTAGTATGACTGAGCAGATGGGACCTCTATGGGTTGTAAACATACTGGGCTGACTAAGTGGATTGAACTACTGAAGTCGGCGGTTTGGCAACATGGTCTACCCTATGAGTGGGTTGACTTGGATTTCTAGGTGAGGTATGGTCTGGGTTGAGAGCAGTGAGCCGTACACCATACCCTTGGTCGGCCTGGACTTGGAGTAGGTCTTGAACTACGAGATTTTCCTTAGATTCGCTAGAGCCCTAGTTGGTCAGTCCTACAACAGGTCTAACTTGGAGGTTACCTTCATTGGTGCTATTATAACTTGACGCCCTAAACCTAGACTTTGGGACCGTTAATTACCCTCACCCTGAACCCCTTGAGTCTGAGAGTAGTGTGTGCTTAAATGGTGGGATTAGTCATTGGATACTGCATGGACCTCATTCGGGTGTGGGTTCTTATGCCTAGGTTGTGTTTCTATCCCCAATTATTGTAAGACAACTCTTGGTCTAATTCCCTGGCTGTTGAGGGTAGCTCTAGCAATGGAAACCTCTTGGCAAGAGGTTCAACCAAGGTAGACCACCTTGTCACTGACCTTGTGATGAGACTTACTGATAGTGAACCCACTCGCAATAGAGATGGGCTAACTCTGGGGTTGTGTAATAATCCTAAAATTTCAAAAAAAAATAAAAAATAAATAAAAATAAACTTTTAATAAGTGATGGTCATTATGAGCATGATTGTCCTTAGGGACCATCACTACTTTCAAAAGCTTTTACCTTAAGCTTTTGCGGCCTTGCCATTAGTGGACGTGGTTTTCAGGTGTTAAAAGTGATTCATTACGCGACACCTCATACACATGATGGAGGTGTTTTAAAGAAATTAATTAGGACGAAAGGTAAGACGTCGCTTAACAACTCCTTTCTCGCTCTCCCTCGTACAAACACAGTGAGCTCCTCCCTCTAGCCAAATTTTTATCGGAAGCTCCTTCTCAAATATTTTAGGTAAGTGACTTCATTATCTTGAAAAATAATCCGTTCTTTTTAAAATGAAATGAAATAATTACTTCCGCTTATTATCGTGATTTTTAGAAATTGTGATATTTTATCTATGTTAGAAATCTTAAATGCTATAAATTCTTAGAAAAACTAAATTTATTTATTTTTCTTGTCTATTGTTAGAAAATTTTATATACTGTAAAATTATTAAAAATAAATGTGATATTCCTGCTTTTAGTAAAATTGTGAGATTTCTTTCTACTGTTTTTGAATATTTAGACATTGTAAATTTCATGTACAAATGACTGCCTTATTATTTGAAAACTGATATTTTGCAATTGATTATAGCATTGTCTGTGAAATGTTTATTTACAAATTAACATCCCATAAATTGTGATAATTATGTATTCTTGAATTTCTAGAAGAATTTTTCTATACATATTAGATTGGCAATTATGCTAAAATGTCTTTACGAACTGCTACCTTTCTAAAATTGAGCCCAAAATATTTGACTGGTTATTTTTGAAATGTTATTGAAAGTGACTGTTATTAATAGTTTCAGTGAAATTCATATTAATAATTTCAGTGATATGTTGAGTACATGATATTGCTACTTTCGAATGTTTAAAGAGATTTAGAATTACTTTAAGTATTCAAGTGGACTCATTCGGTTTTTCGGTGAGGTATAAGTGGACTTATCCGGTACGCCGATAGGGATTAATTGGACTGATCCGATATACCGGTGAGGTATAAGTGGACCTGCAGGGATTAAGTGGACCTATTTGGGACGCCGATAGGGATTAAGTGGACCCATCAGGACGCTGATGGGGTATATAGGTGACCTACTTGGGACACCAGTAGGGTATTTTTTGAAATCTTTTGAATTATGCACTGACGTTAAAATGTTATACGCATTTCAATTATTCAAATTATACTTAATTATGCATTTTTGAAAATGAAACTGTTGATGCATTTCTTTTAATAGATCTCCTTTTTGAAAATATTGATATCTTTCAACCATGATTATTTTTAGGATTATGATGATCACTTACTGAGTAGCCAAACTCATCAAATTATGGTAAACATTTTTTCA